TTAAATACTACTAATGATACTTCTGATGTGGATGATTCTTTCACTTACTTATCAACTACGAGTCAAATAATACATTGTATTTTACTGTCTATCTATTTTATCTTTGGTATAGTTGGTAATACTCTTAATATTTTTCTTTTCATTCGTTCAGCTTTATCTCGAACGTCAAGTTCTGTCTATTTACTTTGTGGATCCATCGGTGATCTGTCTGTCACTATTTTTATTATTCCTTTTCGAATTTTTGCAGATGGTTTCAATCTTGATCTAACATCTTATTCATTATTATCTTGTCGATTGATCTCCTATTTGTATTATGTTGCTTTAACCGTACCACGATTTTGTATCATACTTGCTAATGCTGATCGATGGGCAGCTAGTTGTGTACAAGCCAATCGGCGAAAACTTGCCAGTATCTATGTAGCAAGACGATTAGTACCAGTTATCATCGTTGTTTGTTGTTTATTATATTCACATATTTTTGTGACATTTACTACAGATTACACACCACCACCACCCTTTTGTTCAGTTAATGATTATTATAGTGTTCCTATCTTATTATTACAATTAATTACATACTCAATAGTTCCTCCATTTTTCATGGCATTCTTTAGTATCGGTATAATTTTGAATTCAATGCAACGACGACATCGCACAGCACCTACAACAATTCAGTTAGTAACTATATTACCTATGAATACTATGATTCGTCGAAAGCGTCGTCCACTTAATCAAATGCAAGTGATGCTTATTTGTCAAGCAATGATTGATTGTGTCTTAACACTTCCATTTAGTCTTATCAATTTAGCATCGCTTTTGGTCGATAATAGCGATAGTTTTCTTACTCTCTATTCGTTTGTTCGTCTGATCATATTTATTAACTATGTATCATCCTTTTATATCTATACGTCGAGCTCCAAATTGTATCGAGATGAGTTTAAAAAACTAATCAAACGTCTTTTCAATCGTCAATGATGAAAATGCGTATATGAATCATACTGAAAAGTATCCAATGAAAATCGATCGTTAAATTCATACGAACAAATGACAATCATTGGTATATCAATTCATCTTACCCTAGACTAACGGGACAAACACACAGATATGGTTACATCTAACTATAGACGTGTAATGACTAAAATAATTAACGGATCAAACTCAGAGTTTATTTTAAGAACTATATTCATATGTAGAAGCTACGTTTTTACGCCTTGAAACTTTTTCTAGAAAATAGCGCTAGTTTAACTAGATAGCAACATGAGATTCTTCTAATTATATCCGCACTATTTATACTTAATAGAAAAAAAAGCATCAGATTATTTATGACATGTGACGATTATTAATCACAATTATATAATTAAATATTTTTATTAGCAAAATATTAATATCATTTACGGTAATGATATTGTACGTTTAGAGTCACTGATTAACTGTTAGTAATGGCTAAATATCCAACTACAAATCGAAAATTTAATATATTAATAATAATAAGTGTTAATTCTTGAGAACTTCGAGTTTATAGTGATGAGTTTCAATCGATTCTCGCAACATTACAAAAATCAAAATATTTTATAGGAAGGGATTTATCAAACTTTATGAAGGGAGAACAACATAAAGAATTTAACATCAACAAGAAAAAATACATACTGAATATAAATATATATATGCGATTATTTTATTTCTCAAATGTAATTTATATATATATGTCAATAGATAAACATCGAACCCCATTCGTGAACGATTAATCCACTATTCGATAAATTTTCGGTCATAGAGACTTTTTCAATTTCGCTTTCCAGCTGATTCAGCGTAGAGATTTCATCATTTTCGTTTCCGAAACTGAAAACAAGAAAAATGCGCAATAGTTGTTGAGGTAAAGGACGAATTGATAACTGCACCGATTGTGAATATATGCTAGGAGACACAAAATGAAAGATGACTTTGTCTCGTTTACATTCAGGATCAATTTCATCCAGTTGAGGAAGTACATAGGTTATCAAATCCTAAAAAAAGTCAAACGATCAACATGAGTTTGTATGTTAGGCGCTTATTGTAGACTTACATCCCGATCTTCCGTTGATAAAGTCATTTTCTTCAGAAGATAATTCAAGATTCGACTGAATTCATGACGTGGAACACAAAGATTCTTCTCTTGAAGGAAGTTAGGCGACGAAGTGAGTGTCAAAGCTTCCCAAAATAGCATTCGATATTCTATCTCATCATCAACGGATGGATAGAATCGACTGAGTAGTCGTCTGTCTTCCTCGTTTTTTTCGAAAATAATTCTTCCATCTGGATGGACATTCATGTTATTCCATTGAATATAATTTCTGCAATCTGTGACTGATGGTTTTGGATACAGACTTGAGAAGATCCACACGTTTGGATCAAGCTCAACAGAGACATTGACATGACGAATTACTTGATTATTGATTGATCTTAATCGAATGACTGGTTTACGCAATCTTAAGACCAAGTGCATATAACTTTCACTTGCAATACTATAATCTGCCAAGGTGCGATTATCTTCTAGTTGTTTACCGTTGAAAATAAGTTGCTGTTGATCTGATGGAATTCCTTCTTTGGTTTGTATGCGTTCCTTGATCATAGCGATGGTATCGGTTTTCAAACAGACTTTGATGTCTATCACCTTCCCAGTCAACGTTTTAATGAAAATTGTTTCTGTCGGAACCAATGATATCGGTTTGGATTGGATCAGAAAACGAGAGCCATCAGTTGCATTGGCTAAAGTTTGAGGAAGATCGAGTGACACTTGAGTTTTCTCTTCGATCACGAAATAATGTGTTTCAGCATCTGCTGCTTGAAGAAGTTTTAGTTGAACCATTTGGCGAAAGATATCACCAACAGTTACACGAGCATTCACACTGTAAGAAAAGTCATGACAAATGAATTTTTATATTTCTCAAAGAGACTTCTTCAGACAACTCACTAGGCATCATAATTCTGGTTATTATGTATTAAGCTAATGACGAATATTGGTGGTATATCCGATGTACTTTCACAAGGATCGATGCGTGTATTTCGCATATCCATGGCACATTTTGTAAGTTTATCCATGTCCGTTTGAGCATCGAGAACTTGCTGCAAAGTCAAGCCTGTGGCAGTAGTATAGTCATTCGTTGAAGACATTTCTTTCGCGTCTGAAGTGCAAAAAAAATCCACTCAAATGGTAAATTACAAAAATATTTATATGAATAACGTGTATGATGAAAGAGAACAAAATCAAGCGCGCTGTATTACACGCGAAGCAATGACGCAGTTTATATTCATAGGCAAGAGTAATTCACTGAATTAGTCATCATGACAACAGAATTTTTTTTAATGTGTTATAATCTGATTCACATGAAAAGAAGAAGTAAAATATAACACATTCATCTTGTTTACGATATTGTACTAGGGAGAACATTATCAGATACACAATGAAGTATAGCGACATCTGCTTATCTTTCATTAATACATAGTTTTTAATTCAAAAATGCATTTTAAGAGAACGACAAAAAGTATTTAGAAATAAAGAGGCTGAAGTAATAAGTTGAATGTTTGAATATCTCATCTCGCGACTTATGATTCCTCTCAAAGACTCACCAATCACTTCTACTATGTTTTATTCTTTCCGCTAGTCTATTTAAGTATTTACTATTTTTTCTAAAACCAAGACTCTTATACTGTGATTAACCGGTTGTGTTTATTGTTAGAAATTCGGTCTAGGTGTTCAGATATAAGTTAACTTCGAGAGGATTAAAAAGAGAAAATATAGTCATATAAGATTTTTTTATTGCCATAAAATGAGAGTAGATATATTAATATTTTGCTGGTAATGATCAATAAAAAAGAATCAAGTTGATATTAACCAGATAAAATGAGGAAGCGCAAAAGCTAGAAAAATTCTTCTTCAAAGATGAATCTCATTCCATTATATATTTTTCTTAATCTTTCTACTTTATCGTCAATATATTGTCCCCATCCAAGTTCTTGTCTTACGATAGCAGAAATTTCACCAGATACTGCAATCAGAATAAACCGACTCGATAAACATCTTTTGAAATGAGAATGTGAGTCTTACACCCTTACCATCTTGTGGATATGAAAGGGCTTGAGGTGAAAATATCGTTTCCTCTCACTTGAATATTTATTCAAGAACGCATTATACGTCAGACTCCAATCAGTTCCTTTTTCTTAGGTAAATAAGACAACCTTGTCTTCGGGCAAGAGAACGATAGAGAAAAAAAGAACTATTCTTTTTGTCGGGTAAAACGGCGGCAATAACTTTGAAGGTTTTTTTTTCTTTTTAACGCCGAAATCGTCTCCGTACAAATCGAACATGCAGAAATGAATATTCAGTCCAAAGAACGCGATATTTTTCGTTTTGGATCATATTATTTACTCGTTCGATTCGCTGTGCATTATTAGTCACATTGAAAGCGAGTATTGCGTCGAGTTTTCATCTTTGTTTTGAAAACGATAATATACAGCATCTATTTATTTCAGTATAAATCGAACAAACCCGGTTATCATCACTCATCTATAGTGTCATGCTGAAATCTTCCAGTAAGATGCATCTATTATTATTTTGAAGAAAATAAATTTTCTATTTTTTCTTCTGAAGATATTCGCTGCAATGGTTGCAATACATTTGACTTTTCAAATGCTCGTTATGAATGTCAAATATGTCCGAACTATAATCTGTGTCTCATATGTTACAATAATAGAAAACAAACTTTAAATCATTCACCATCGCATTATATGTTACGAACTGAGTTATCATCGACAGGTGATACCAATTCGCTTGCCAAACAACATATAGATCAGATGGATTCCCTTCAAACAACATATTTATCAAGTGAGTGACAAAAGCCAGCAGTATGCATTTTGGGGTGGAAGATTCTTCTGCTTCTCGATTTTTCATATCCCTCAAAACAACTTCAATGAGTTAATACATTATTTTCTCATTGTTGTAGAAATGTTGTCGAATCTATCTTCAAATGATGCTCGAACCAAAATGGTCACGTCATCCATTAAAACGCTTGACAAGTTATCAATCGATGAGTTGTACGAATATCTACTTCGACTTGACTTAAACTTGAAATCATTAGCAGAACGATTGAAAAATGAACGTGTCTCTGGCGCTGATTTAGTGAATTTTAATGAAGATGATTATAAAAATTGTTCTATTACATATGGAGAAAAGAAAAAGCTTCAACTTCTCATCGAACAAAAACAAACCAATTTGAATCCTCAGCTGATTGCGCCAACTTCTAATGTATCTGATTCAGCACAAATGCAAAGTGAAATAAATCGCTTGAAAGCCATTATACAGGAACAAGAACAACAGATTCAAGATAAAAATGCATCTATTCAACAGCTTGAAGATATTGCCGAAAAACAAGAACAACAAACACAGTTACAAGATGCAATAATAAAACAATTACAAGAGACACTTAAAACACAGAGTGAAGAAATGCAGGTGTTGATAGACTTGTCACAGGAACATCGTTCTCTTGTTCTATCTTCACAAAATTCCTCTTCCAAATAGACATTTGTTATTCCAGATTAACTCAAGAACATATTCAAGAAGTAACGCGTGCCTATGAACTTGCTTGACCCTTTCTTGTATACATAATATCTTCTAGACCTATAAAAATATTATTCATGCACAAAATTTCACGAATCTCTTGAGGGTGTGAGTGCGGATATTAGCTACATCAGTAACCAGTTGCCTACTCACATCCCAGATGATTTCTATGATTTATTACAATTAACTTAACAATACACATACAAAGTTTTTGATTGAGTATTTGATGTTTCACTTGTGTCGATGTTAATTGATTGAAATTGAAATAGTAAAGATTATTTATATTATTTTTCATAAAATATGAAATTATAAACGTCCGTTCTATTTTGGTCCATAGTTAACCTTCTACTCAACTCTAACATTCTTGAAATACTCTGACAATTGAAAATCTACAACTATGTCCATCCACACCCACACCCACACTCTATGACACTCGATTATTCACAAAGTCATCGGTTCAGTTCCAGTAATCTCCATTTGTTGTCGTCGACGAATATGTTTAGTCCACCATCGATAACCGAGTAGAATTTGACCAATGATGAGATGAAGAGCATATCTCAAACCTATATAGAAATGAATAAAATATTATCAATTTCTTATGAACAAAATAGTTAGTTATTGTACCTGCATATACACCTAAAACAGTTGTCAAAATATAAATAAAATTGTTTCGATCGGGTAGTGTATATCGACATTCCATTGGTCGACATGTTTCAAAATACGCTGTATAATTACTTTCATTTTGCCACGATTCTACAAAGAGCTTACTGATCAATGGTGTCATGGAGAAGTTTTCAAATTTCGATAAACGAAATCCATCAAATATAAAACAACCACTAAATACATTTTCTGCAAGTTGTTCACGACAATCAGATGACGTAGCACAACTACAGTTCGATGAAGAAAAACGACGTGGATGGGTACCAATTAGATAATATTCATTTTCACTAGTAAATCTTACTTGCCAATTACTAGAGAAAACATTTAATAATTGATTAGCTCCAAATGAATCGATGGTGAATGAAAGTGTTCGACGAAAGTCAGCTGGAATTCGAGTAATAAACGTCGTAACAAGTGCATTGGTCTGTGCATAAAATGAAGAACGTGTAGCTGTTTCTATACTAATTAATTCACGTGTACCAAATATGTTAATTCTGTTTTCAATAATATCGCGAGATACATTACATAAAGATGCTAAGAGTCGATATTGAGCACTAAGTTGTAAGGATATATCATCAGTTTTGTTGAAGAAATGAAACCAATAAGAAGGTGAAGTAAGTTGACTAGAACAGATTGGATGGTAATGAGGTATTATGCGGAGAAATTTAGAGTAACTAACTGCTGCGGTTGAACAAGGACAAGAAAGAGTTGAAATATTTTTAGCATGCAAATTATTGACAATATCAGATGTAGGTAAGGCAATTATCGTTGTGTCTATTTCTTCAGTAAATGGACTAGCATAAAGAAAAGCGCTGACGAGACAAAAGAAAATTAGAAGAAAATAGATACGAGTAGCCACGATTTCTTGATGTTCGAGTTGTTTGTCAGTTGGAAGTATTTCGGATGAAAATAAATTAAATGACCAAAACCTTTGAAAAACATTGGAAACAGGACGAAGATCTTCTTCATTATTGGCATTAACAGAAGTATCTAAAACATAATCAAGATATTATTTTTGCATAAAGGAACTCTAATAAAATGTCAGAAATACTTTTGTTTCGATCTATGTTATTAGTGTGAATGAAAAATACTGTAATGTTTCTTACTTTTTATTACCGTAGTGTTGATTTGTCTTTCTGGATGTTGTATTCGCTTTTTCCAACATTGTCTTATAATTTTAACTATTGGTGGTAGAATAACTTCTAAAACCACACTAAGTCCACCACAGAAGCCTAACATAATCGTCACCATGTAAGGTATGTCGAAACGTCGCATAACCTTGTATGTACATTGTGTAGGTGCACAACGTATATAATAATTTATATAATCACTGGAAGTCATCCATTCTTCTACGAATAATTGTGAATAAATCATTTTCATAGTATTATTCGGATGAAAACGACTGCTTTCATAATGAAGAGGTGAAATATTAAGAACACGTTTATCTAATGGTTGAACTAAATTGACGACATCAAAATCATACATGTCAACTATGAGTTTAAGGCATTGTCGATCATACAAACATTCTAAAGTAGATAGAAGAAAAGAATCAATTGGATAACAACCAACAAGTAATCCAGGTATAGTGACGTTAGGTTGAGAGCGAACTGTATCTGATTGTAGGTAGAAACCAATTGGACGTGTACATTGATTCGATAAAGCACATGAACAAGAATTAGTATAGAGACGTCGAGGTCGAAAACCAAGAGACCATGTCGATGTTTGATTATTGAAGTTTGATTTAGGTGCATCACTCGTTAACATTTCAGTAATTAGACGATTAGTTTCAATAGAAGAATGTACTAATTCGGCAATATTGAGAAATGAGGAAATAATATGTTGTTCAAATTGTTGCATACGTGCGGATGTTTGAAGATGAAATTCCTCACGTGATATCGTATGAGCTGTAAATAAACGAGTAGAACGGAAAACATCGAGTGCATTCTGAACTGTTTCATTTGCTGCTTTACAGAAAATATTCAGTAACTCGAAAAATGATTGACCACTAACTCGAAAATCAGAAGTAAGAAACGTATTTGATGTCCCATCAAGGTGAACTAGACCGAAATAAGATAGCCAATAATCTTCGAGAAATTCACTTGAGCACACTTGATGATAGCGTGGAATAATAGACATAATTCGAGCGTATGACATAGACATATGTGTACATGGACATTCGAGAGAAGACGAGTACATAGAGTGCAATTCTTCAAACTTTTCGAGAGTAGGAAAAGGAATATTATCGATATCTGTATGCGTCGTTACAGAAGTATAAAAACCCAAAATAAGAAGACCAAGTAGTAAGAAGAGGATATATAAACGAGTGGCAATGATACCTACACGTTCTTCTTCTGGATCATTATCATCATCTGATGAAAATAAGTTGAATGTATATATTGTTTGATGAGCATGAGCGATCACAGCTAAAAGAAAACATTAATCTATTTTGTCAATTATATAATTTTGAGGAATGCTCATAGTGTCAAAAATCTATCTTACTACACTAACCTTCATTGAGTGGTCTGGGTGCTACACTTAGAATAGCCTCTTCAATACTTCTTGGTTGTAACGGTATAGTTGGATGTCTTCGTCGTCTTTTCCATATTATTCGTTTCCAAACTTTCACAATAGCTGGTGTAATTAATTGCCAAGCAAGAATGAGACCACCAAACGCACTAACACATATAGTAAAGATTGTAGAAAAATAAAACCGATCTTCATAACTATAGGAAAGCGATCGAGGTGCACAAGCAGCAAAGTATTTTTCAAAATTGGACGTACTGTGCCATGATTCAAGGAAAAGTGATTGATCGAACATTGATTCGATTGTTTCATTGATAAGAAATCTGGATATAGAAGCATTTAAAGCTTTTGGTCGAGACAATTGAGGCTGAAGGGTTAATATATTAACACATGATTGATTGTAAAGACATTCAAGTGTTGATTGACGCATGGAATCAAATGGAAGACAACCAGCCATCAGACCTGGAATCTATAAATGAAGTCAATGACATTAGATAAACATTTTTCGATTTTTTTTTCAACGAAGAAATCTTTTTCTTCAATGACCAAGAAATATTTCTTGATGAAAAATTAACAAATACTGTATTTAAAAGACTTTTTCTTTACCTGAATACGAGGCGTCAATATCGATTCTGTTGAAGTGAGTGAAACTGGCGGCGTCCATTTGTCAAAAATACCCGCTGGAGAAATGCATCGATTTCCTTCTAATCGACAAAAACAGTTTGATTCCACTGTTGTATTCTTCTTCGAATAAACACCATTAATTGTTAAATAAGAACGTGAACTAGGTACAGATTGAACATAATAATTTGTACGCAACGCTGAGAATACTCGATTCTCTGCTATACTTAATGATACGAATGCTGCTGTTCGTCGTTCATTAGCCTTTACTTGATGTTTAAAATTCGTGACTATAACATCCATAATCTTGAGGAAGTGTGCGCGAGAAAGAGCATGACTAGTCACTAAATGCGTAGAAGCAAATGCGTGTTGAGCATCAGTGACAGCACGACGTGCCGTACGACAAAATAAAGCAAGAGTTCGAAATTGAGCAAAAGTAAATGTACGAAAATCGAGAAGATGATGAGATGTAGCATTTGGAAGAAAGAGAGAAGATATCCATTTTTGACTAATAAATGGACTCGAGCAAACTTGATGAAATTGTGGAGATAAATTAATAAATTTATTGTAAGGAATAGATAGTTGAGTACAAGGTACGTTGATGGAGAATGGATGAAGATCTTCGAGTTGTTCAAATTTATTGAGAGAAAATTTTTCAAGAGTGACTTCGTGTGTTCGAATATTTAAACTAGTACAAATAATGACTATCAGTAGAGAAATAGAGACAAAAAAGATAAAAAGTCGAGTGTTAAACAATTGTTCAGCGTAAGTAAGCGTCGGTGACCAAAATGGATGATCAGAATAAAGATTCAGTTCATGAACAGCACGTACTAGACGAGAACGAGCGGCAGTGAAGACAACTTTAGTAGTAGATGGTTCTATCGATGGACTTGATGAATTATTCATTGTGAGTGCTTACTAAAATATCGTCAATTATTCAAACAAAATCTTTTTTGATTTTTTTACCTTTCACTACACACTCATAAATAGTTTTATTTTATGACTGATTTTTGAAATGATAAAAAAATACTTCTGAAAATATAATTTATATTATAAAATTCTATTTAATCGTTTATTCAATCCTACCTGGCTTATCATAATAGATAATAAGTGACAAAAGTTAGATTTAGACTTTATATATTATAGAAAATAGACAA